GCATGTCCCCAAGCAGAACTTGGGAGCTTTGTTCTCATAAGTAATGGTCTAGCGACATTTAATAAATGATTCTGCTAGACCATTCTGTGTATGAACATGGGCAACAGGCTTTTCAACCGTTATTCCGATTGACATACAATAATCATTAAAAGCCTGAGACATAAATTCACTAGCATTATCAAGACATATTGTCTTAATTGTATAATCTGAAAATTGTGCTCGCAATTGAATTATTTGGGCAAGTAATCTCACAAACGCCAAGTTGCGAGTAGATAATAAATACACATGAGATCATCTTGTAGATGCATCTACTAAGACCATAAAATATATAAATAGTCCACATGGTGGATGAATAGGCTCACATATATCACCTTGAATTTGTTTTAAAAATGTAAGTGATTCAATCCCAATTTTAGCTGGTGATGGTCTAATAATTAATTTACCTTAAGAACAACCAGCATAAGAGAATTAATTAGATTAAAAAATCTTCTGGTTTTTCAACAGATGTCTATGTGATTTCTTAATGATTCTTCGCATCATTATTGAAACGGGATGACCTAACCGATCGTGTCAATTAATAAAAGTATTAGGATCAGTAAACTTTTGGTTTACTATAACATGTGTTTCAAATATACTGATATTTGTGTAATACAATCTGAAAGAAAAAGAAGGTATTTTTTTCCAACACACATTTCTTGCTTGCAATTATTCTTGTAATATAAAGATATTCAATATTTTCATCATTAGTTGTCTCAATATGATATCCATTACAGTGAATATCTTTAAAACTTAATAAATTTCTTTTAGACTTGGAAGAAAATAATGCATCTTTTATAATAAACTGTGTTCCTCTGGGCAATAATATATTAGCTCTTCTAGAGCCTTCAATTAATCTTGTACTATCAGATATTGTATTTATGTTAGCTTCACACATTAACAAAGAAGAAAAATGTTTTCTTTCTTTGAGTATAGTGTGCGTTGTAGCATTGTCTGCGAGACAAATATCTTCATCATCAATAATCTTGGATCCAATCATAGACTTGGGGATATCCATTTTTCTTTATCCAAAACAAAATACATAGTAAGACATATTACAAAGCCAACAAAACAAAGTAATTTACCTAAAATTGCAAATCACACTTAAACATATTAAAAGTAAAACACTCACAAAAACATAACTTTAATAATTTTGGACATTTCCATCCCCAATTAAATGATCAATTCTCCCTTTGGTATTTCCGAAGAAATCTGCAACATTTAGATGTGTTATATCAACAGGTCCATGATCAAAATTATCATCTTGATAAGCAAAATTTGCTTCTCTATTTTTATTTTGGTAGGCAAAATTTGCTTTCATATTTGTCTCTTTTTCTTTCAACGATGCTTGATAAAGTTCAACAAGATGTTTAGGCGTACGACAGGTACGTGATCAATGTCCTTTCATGCCATATCGATAGCACAGATCTTCTGTATTCTTTGAATTTTTATGTTGTCCATTTTGCCATTTTCCTTTATCTCTTCATCATTATTCCACTTCCGGTGGCTTTTATAGTTAGAAGAGTTATTATTATAACCACCACCCATGCCCATCATTATCATATATTGTCACATCTACTTCAGGGAATGGAGTAGAACCTGTTGGGCGAGCTTCATGATTTTAGGAAGAATCACAGTTTTCTAGTGATCATATCTTTCCTTTGAATTTTTCCAAAAAGTAGATCTTTTACCGTAAGGTATTCAATTTTCAATCCTTCATGGAGATGGTATCAAAGGATAACAATAACACTACGGACACCGAAAAAATTACACCAAAATTTTGTACCGGCCTACGTGTAACGCATGTCTGAATTTTTTTACAATTTTTTTCTTGAACAGACATTTGGACGGTCGTTCACTTACATGGACGCCCGTTCATATTATATGGACGGGCGTCCATACACAAGGGAAGGGCGTCCCCATTTAAAGGACGCCCATCCCTAATTAAAATACAATTAAAAAATTTATAAAACATTAGGGACGGCCGTCCATCCATTATGGACGGCCGTCCATTAATTTTGGACGGGCGTCCACAAATAATGGACGCCCGTCCTTCACTCAAATATAAAAAAAAAAAAAAAATTGGGACGGCCGTCCATAAATTTTGGACAGCCGTCCCTTACATTTGGACGGGCGTCCATTCCTAATGGACGCCCGTCCATACTTTTAAAAAAGAAAAAAACATTAAGCCTCTTCTTCTTCTCTCCTCTTCTTCGTCATCAATATATAAGACTTTTCTGGAACTTGATCTTTCTATTCACTCTAAGAGCAGGCAAGAGTCTAGTAGGTTGAAAAAAATAAATCATCTCCTCGAAGATCTTCAAAGTATATGGCAGCTAGTCTCCCCTTGTCTCGCATGTTGTTCACAAGGTTCTTGGATTGCTATGAGTTTCATTTGTATATCACTCATATATCTTGTGTGCTTTTTCAATTGATTTGTTTTATCTTAAATTAAATGAGATATGCTTTCCCTCCTGTTAAAGTTTTTTGGTGTGCAGCTAGTGGCAGGCTGACACTCAATCTTGAAAGACGGCTAGATCATGAGGGACATCCTTTTGCTATTACCACAGCTAACCTGTTGCTGCCACCGGAGTTCCTTCTTGGAACTGGAGGGACACCCCACCTGGAAATGGCTGCTCGCGTTCTTTCTTGAAGATGAAGACGCAGCATGTCTGCTGTAACGGCTGCTATGGCAGCAGCCACTACAGCCACTGAAACAGCAGCGTGGGACTGCGCATTCTGGGCTCTGCAGCCACGAAACAGCAGTGCGTTCAGGAGAATAGAAAGAAGAAAGCAGAGCGCCAGAAACAATGAGTGATTTGGTTCCGGCGAAGGTGGAGAGGGCTGTTGAGAAACATGCTATGGCTTATTTGTAAAAGCAAAGTAGGACGACTGTCCACAATTCCAATTTTTTTTTTTTTTTTTTTATTTTTTTTTTATTTTTTTTTTTTTTATATTTGGGTGAAGGACGGGCGTCCATTATTGTGGACGCCCGTCCAAAATTAATGGACGGCCGTCCATAATGGATGGACGGCCGTCCCTAATATTTTACAAATTTTTTAATTATATTTTAATTAGGGACGGACGTCCTTTAAATGGGGACGCCCGTCCCTTATGTATGGACGCCCGTCCATATAATATGGACGGGCGTCCATGTGAGTGAACGGCCGTCAATTCACTAGAAAAAAATTGTAAAAAAATTCAGACGCGTGTTACACGTAGGCCGGTACAAAATTTCGGTGTAATTTTTTCGGTGTCCGTAGTATTATTGCAAAGGATAATCATGGTTTTAGCCTTATTTTGATTTGATGATTCATTTCCTTCTTTCATTGTGTCACCAAGACCTATAGCATCTAAGTGAATTTCAGCATCAAGAATCCATGACAAATAATTCTTGAACATAATATCAAGAGCCCCAAATTCAAGTTTCGTAAGATTTGTCATGACAAAATCTATAAAAGAAATATTTAATAAATTAGACAATCTCTAATAAAATGAAAATATTATCACAAATAAGAATTTAGAATAACAATAATGAATATACAATTTATTACAGTTATAGAGAATTTAATAATTTGAGAATGCAAATTATAAAAGCAAATATTTACAAATATATGTATGTCTTTTCATAGTAATCAAATTATAAATCTATCACTATACAATGTTTAATTAGAACACTTTCATATATTTTATACTATAAAAATGATTAAACATTCCAACATATTTATAAAGCATATTGAGATAAACGCAAAATTGAATTTATGGCAAGGAATACTTCAACTCCAAATTTGATAAGAGATAAAAGCTTGAAACTTGATGAGATTTTTTTTCCTTTGACAAGTTGATATGGTTAGAGACTCGTGTTGATAACATCTTATAAGATAAACTAAAAGAAGAGAGAAAATAATTGAAGGAAAATAGAACTAATACTTTTCTATTTCAAAGTTGAGTGTACATCATCTTTCACAATACATCTATTTATAGTCTCAAGATTATGAAATATTATAAATGAAATTAAAAGCTAATAAAATGCTTTGAAGTTGTAAGATTCAAGAGTTAGAGAAGATGAAAGATTGAGAAGTTATAGAATTGCAAGGGATATCCACATTTATTCATAACAATGTCTTATTTTTTAACCTAAATAGTAAATAGGTGATCCGGAATAGTGTAACAAATACGGGTATAGTTTTTCGAAAAACAACTATTGAAGTTTACACTAGTAAAAGATTATTTGTTGGTGTGGTCGAACATGAGAGAAAGAAGTGGATCCAGTCCACGTATTCAAAAAAATCCGATTAAACGTAAAAGGATTTGTAAAGAGTGTTAAAACGGAAGTCAGGCCACCATGGACTCACGGAGTACAAATGAGAGAAATGAGCTGAAGTATCAGCTGTCCAATGAGACTTTGAGTATTCAAAAGAAAGCCAGGCAAGTTGACTTCAATAGTTGAGTAGTGTGTTATCCATGTGAAAACTTGTTGAGCTTCAACAATTCAATAGAGGCAGAGACTATATGAAGTAGCAATACATTAGGAAAATAAAATGTTGTTTCAGATACAATACCATTATTAATTATTAATAATCTCTCTTTACAGATCTAATTTCTAAATTAAAGTACTGTAATAGTGACACATTTCTACCTCACTCATTCAAAAGAAAACATCAAATATCTGCAAGTTCCAGAAGGCAGAAACTAGTTCCGTTTCAAACTTCATTTAATAAAAGAGAAGAATATTCCATTAGAACTAGAAACACAGGAAATAACATGAAAATGACCAGAAAGGCTTCAAGAACCAGTAGTTATGGGGACGAGTGAGGGCACGTCCTCTTAGTATTCTTAATGAAATTTTATGCAGTATTGATATCAGTTAAACATTTTATTCTACTAATTCATATCACAGATTAAAATATAAGAGACATCAAATGTAATTGAAAGTTTTAAACTTAAAAAATCATCCATAATAATGCCAAAAAACAATAAATCCTAAGATTATGATTGTAATAAAATTTCCTCCACCTAGACAATTGAGAAAAAAAAAAGTTGGAAAGAAAAACCCAATTCCAAGTACCACACTTTCCTCTCATTTTCCTTCCATACATTCTCATCCATGACTCAATGCAAACTAAAATTGTTCCAACAGCAAAACAAAAAGGATTAACAAAATATATAGTCTTACGATAAACTTCAAATACCAAAAAGGCACACTACTGTGACACCCCAAGCCACTTTGAGAAGTTTTCGAACTCAGTATAATCACTGTCTGAGATCATGGTTTGGTACCATGCCTTCCCAGCAGCCCTGATAGCACATGCCTCCTCCTGGCAGGATAAAAAAGAAATAACATAATCAATGTAACATAGTTCAATTCTCCCTCTCAATGAAAACAATAACAAACCTCATGGGCAAGGTCGAAATCTATTAGTTGATTAAGACTTTGGAATGCCCCAAAAATAATTGTGTATTTCTTTTCATAGGATCAATCTTAATAAAACCAACAATTAAGACAAAACCAAGCCTTAGAGTTATAAATGGTTCATTAAAAAAACACCTACTTTTATAAACCAATTAAAGGTCACCAACATTAAAAGGTATCCTCAATCAACTCAGAATACTAAATAAGCGACGTTCTAAAACAGTAAAACATAAAAATTTCTGAAACACAAGTATATATTAAGTGAAAACTGAAGAACTACAGATAAACAATTTTAATGCCACATGATTTTACATCTAACAATATTAGTCAACGCAGCAAAAATCCATATATAGAAATTTGATTCTTTGAATAACTTACCAGCTAAAAAGCATAAAATTGTTAATACAGTTAATATACAATACGAGTAAAAGCTACAATATAAAGCAGGTCAGTACAAAGTAATAAACCATCACACTACCAGTCACAAAATTCAGTACTAATCCCCTAAAACAAGCAGATATTATAATAACAACAATCTAAAAATATCCTTAAAAACATATAATAAACAAACAAAACTTCCACAATCAAAGTTCAACAAATAAGAAACATATATACCTTAGTAATGGGCTTCCTCTTCTTGTCAAGCTTCTCCTTCTTAGCCTTAACACGTTGTGCCTCAGCCAAAAGCGACATTCTCCTAGCAGTCTTGGCATAGGGGTTGAGTCTGAGCATAGTGTTGAGATTCTTCAGTGGGTTCTTCTTCATTGGTGCTCTCTTCACCTCCTTCTTAATCGGCCTTACCACAGATTGCACCTCATCAGAGTTAATGATCCTAGCCAAATCGGCATTCACCATCTTGGCACGTGGCAACACGTACCCCTTCTTCTTCTCAGACCCCTTATCGAAGGATCCATAGATTGAATCCAACTTCTCAATGGCTGACTTGGTCCAGATAACAAATCGTCCAAGGTGTCCACCTGGAGCAAGCTTCAAAAGGTTCAACCTCTCAACGTTAACCACCTCAACACCAGGAATGTTCCTGAAGGCCTTAACGAGCTTCGCCCCTTCAGTTGAGTACACAACCAATGGGCCCTTCCTGGAAATGTATCGACGGTTTCTCATTTTACCCTTTCCAGGACGAATAGATTGGCTGTCCTTAGCCTTCTCGGCATCATCATAAGCACCAATTTGTTTCAAAACCTTCAAAGCGGCGGATGTTTTCTCAACACCCTCGGCTGAGTCACTGACGACCAGAGGCAATTCGGGAACTTTCTCGATCTTATGGCCACGTGCCATCACGAGGGATGGGACGGCAGAAGCCGCGATAGCGGAGACTATAGCATACCTCTTCTGGTTCACGTTGATCTTACGGTGCCAGCGGCGCCAGATCTTGGTAGGAGCAAACATGCGTCCGCCGCGACACATGTTTCCGAAGGCTCCCTGGCCGGCGCGGTGAGTACCACCACCGGGAACACGGGGGATACGGGAGACGGCGCGACCGGTACCCCAGGACTCGGCGGAGGTCTGGTGGCCGGCTTTCTTGGAGACGGCGTAGGGCTGGCGGCTGTTCTTGGAGATATTTGAGTGGACGAACGTGACGATGTCGGGACGGATCGAAGCCTTCATGACGGCGGGTAATTGTACGGTGGGAGCTGCATCGGTGGCCATGTCACCTTCCAGTGACTGGACGGAGACCAAGGGACGAGCTGCGGCGGCCATTGGTATCGTGCAGAATGGGGGGAGTGAAAGGAAAGGGGAGGCTAGGGTTTAGTCTGTGAGAGAGTGTTAAAAATGAAAACGAGCGAGTATATATATGTTTATATAGTGATGCCTAGGGTTTTTTGGAGACTTTGGAAGTGTTTGGGTTACGGGACTTATTTGTCTGTGGTAGGAGTCAGATTTTCTAGAAACGGATTTGGGCTGCACCCTGGAAGAGGGCCTGACAGACGAGACGAGGCCGAGATTCTAGTGGTTAGCTCATGAACCGGTTGAGAAATATAAAAACATTTAAAGAAGCACATGATAAAAAAATTATTAGAGATAGGTAGTATTTGTTCTTTTATCTTAAACTTAAATATATTTAAATTTATGATTTGTTATCTTAAACTGAATACACCTAATCTTAGATTGATCATTGTTGATACAAGAATATGCACCAACTAGAGTGATCTAATTGACCTTGGTGGGATTAGAACTATTGTGTGCGTGATTACGGATAATCAGCAATGAATAAGTAATGAATTCGGTAAAGTAAATTATAAAGAGAATTTTAAAGTGGTTCGACGAGATAAACTCTTGAGCCTACGTCTACTGCTTTTGTATTTATTGTGAGAGCTTACAATAATAATTTTAGGAGTATTTTCCAACCCCTTCCTCATCATTTGAGTGGGTTTATATACAAAGTTTGTACAAAGGAAAGAGAAAAAATAAGGGGATTACAATTAAATTGAAATTCAACTTTGATATTCTCACAATTGGACGTTGTGATTGCGCAAGGATTGCTGTCAATCTGATCCATCCCAGGATATCTAGGATCTAAAGTTATCTAGGAATTGGTTGAACAATCGCACGGATTGTTCATGACTAGCTTATGCTGGGTCGGACAATCGGTGGAGCCGAGCTGGTTCTAGATCGAACTATATTCTTGCAATGCTCTGAGCTTGGTGGAAAAATCACACACAACATCTGCCCCCTAGTGTTTTATGCTCGTTTCGAGCTTCGAAGACTATTGCTCGATTTGATATCAAGCTTGGCATGGTCAATAATTCATCAGACATGGATTCGGTCGAGCTTCGAGGGTCGAACCCATGCCCAGTCAACGTACTTCACATTTGGATCTTTTCTCCTCTGTGACATTTGTCAAACTTGGAATATGAATGGTCAGGACAATTATGTAAATTCCACGCAATCATGTCGTATTAAATGCGGCAGCCTTTGGTAGTCACATTTCATCGCATGTGGGCGACTACAGCTGTCCACGCACAGAGTTGAGGTGACGTGTGGCGACGGTTAGGATCATAGCAGTTTGATAGTTCGTCGCCCCTTGCGAGTCGTTGACACATACATCCAAGGGCTAGGATTACTCGATAAATAGAGGGTCAAGATTCACTGTAGGTCGACGACTACAATCGAACCCCGCCCTTTCGTCTCCCATGCAAGCTACTATAAAAGCAAGTGAAGTCATCATAAACTTACTCAACTTGCGAAAATTCTGTAACGTGTTTTGCTTATTCTGTTGCTACTTCATCATCGTCATAGTACTCTTTTCGGCGAGTTCTTCCCATTCTCTTGTTTCGGTAAGGCTTATTTCCCTCTCTTTAGTTGCTTTCTCTATTTTTGCGGCTAAGGGTGGTCATTATTGTGGCCACATTGAATCTTCTAGGGGTTTACTAAGGTTTTTAAACGTGTCTCCGGTGGTCTTGGGTTTAAGGAGGGTTTACTGCGGTGGCTGCGGGAATCCTGGATAGGTCGCGTGCATTCGTCATCTAGCTTGAGCTATCTTGGGTGCCTGAACTGAAAGCAAAGTGCGGATAGATCACCGAGTCTTTCGAGCTCTGATACATGTTCGCTTCTGTTTCAGGTACCTAAAAGTGAGCTTTAATTATGTCTTCATCCAGTAGCCACACGATTGATCACATGTTCGACTCACCCGCGGGCTCGACAATCCTTGGGGGTACAATCCTCAAGGTCTTAGAGGAGATCGTCGCATAGAGCTCGGACCCCGACGCGGCGGGCTCGTCCGATCATGCCTTAGTACAGTTGGCTCAATCCAACCGGTCTCTAGTTCATAGGCTGTGGAGGGAACGATAATCCTCGATTAATGTCGAGGACCTAAGGTGCATAAGAGAGACTTATGTGCTGCAACTCAATTTGATGGCTCTAGGGAACTTTTTCTGGATGAATCCCCCACTTGGATGGGTAGCGACCTCTGAGACCCTCTTGAGATGCAGGGTATCTATTCCCCCTCATCACTTCATCAACATCGTCGCTCTTCCGCTGTCCGCGAACTCATATGTCATAATCATAGGTTTGTACATAGCATAAATGATTGCCGAGTTGGGCGAGTCATCCGTCGAAGAGCTCGTCCATTTGTATAGGCTAAAGAAGGGTCAAGACCAAACGTACTACCTATCTAAGGTGAGGAAGGTACACTTTAACGGTCTGGTCGACGTCCCAAAGAAGGTCTCGCATTGGGACTCCCAATTTTTCTTTTATGAGGCCTGGGAGATCGGTGTTTTTGCTTCGAAAGCGAGTAAGACTTCAACTCCTAGTGTGTGTGAAGATCGCTTTCAAACTCTATGTTTAAGTTAACTGTGTTGCTTTGCTTTGCAGTTAACGTCAAGCAGAATTATCTCCCTGTTGCGAGCTTACAGAGGCTCCAACGCTTTAGCGACCTTTTCGATAGACAACACAACGTTAACGAGATCATCTCACTCCCTCACTTGAGGGCGTACGACTTCTGTGAGAACAACATTAAGTTTCTTACCGTTCTCAAGAAAGGTAAGTTATCGCTTGCTCGCGCTTATTCCTTTTGCATAAATAGGTCGCTCACTACTTGCTTTTCTTTTCTGCAAAAATGTGAGCCAAGAAGCCAAAGGGCCTCAAGAAAAAAGCGGCAGCTTCTACGACTGCCAAGAAGATGCCGGCAGCTTTGGTGATGAAGCAGGCCACTAATATTGCCTGCGTGAAGCGTAGCAGGGGCAAACTTGGGGAAGGCCCAAATGCGAAGAAGCCCGCGACTGCCTTGAAGGCAGTTGGCGGGAAAGGTGCCTCCAAGCCCCAAAAGGGGCCGGCAAAGAAAACACCCGAGTTAACTAAAGGCTCAAGGAAATAGAAGGCACTCGAGCAGTATGATGGCTCAAGAAGAAGAAGTCGACTAAGCCTCAGGGGGGCTCGAAAAAGCAGAAGATGGTTGAGCAGCAAGTTGGCTCGAGCAAGAAGGTCGCAATACATGTTGGCGGCCCAAAGAAGTCAGTGGCCAAAGACTTGGCCTAGAAGAAGTCTGCTCCTATGGGCAAGACTGCTATTGTTGGGGGAAGTAAATCCAGCTCGTCTCGATAGGGATGCAAGAAGATGGACGAGGCGGCTCAGGCTACAATTGATGCTTTGATTGACCAACTCCCCGACCATATCAACGTTGGGGTTGTAGCAGCCAGGGATGACATCACACCGTGAACATTCATGGGCGTTAAGGATTCATCTCCCGTCGAGATGTTTGCTTGGGTATGTAGCTACACGACAAAGGTACTAGTAGTTCGCCCTCTTTATTCTTTCATGCTATCATGATTGTTTGTTGACTTTCCGCCCTTTTTTTCTTTAAGTTGTCATGGCGAGCAGACTTCTCTACAATGAGTGCTATACCACGTTGGAGGGCACTCATCGAGAATGGCAGTTGGCAAAAATAGTGAAGGAGGATGCCCTGGCTAGGGCCTAGGTGGCAGAGAAGGAGAAGGAAGAAAGGCAGGCTGAGCTTGAGCTGCTCAAGAAAGAGATGGCGGCCTTCGAGGTTAAGGAAATTGAGTTCCTTGACAATATCAAGGTGAGCGAGGCTGCGCGAGCTAAGGCCAAAGTCGAAGCAATCAAGCTTGGGAAGAGTTTGGCACAACAACGAGGTGCCAATAACAAGCTGAATTTCGAGCTCTCTTTGGCTCAAAAAACCACTTCGGAATGGGAAACAAAGTTCAAGCAGACCTCACTCGACCTTGCTCAAGAAGCAGAAGGTCGATGAAAGGTCGAAGCTGAGGCCGAGCAACTTAGGCTTCAGATCAGGGAATTGAATGAGGTCATAACCACTCGAGCTTGGGAGACGTCGATCTTCTTCTTGGTGCAGAAGTCCTAGGAAGCTCACCCTTCGATCGATTTCTCCTTCTTTCCACGAGCTTACCAAAGAGAGGTCAACAGGATGAAGGATGAAGCTCAGGGAATGGCCTATGTATACTTGGATGATTCTAAGGCTGATGGTGAGGGCTAAGAAGAGGTCGAGGAAGGTGAGGCGGAGATTAGCCTCAAGCAAGAAGTCGAGGATTTGGCTCCCCTAGCTACACTTCCACCCAATGTTGTTGACCTTCCCCCGGACGAGGCTCCCAACCTTGAAAAGGCTAATGCCATTCCTTCCGTCGAGGAGCCATCTCTCTCAGTCGGTGACGAGCTCCCTAGACGACCATAGATGATGCCCCTGTTCCTCCACCTACTTGAAAAATAATTATATGTCTTTTCTCTCTCTCTCTCTCTCTCTTTTTAGACTGTAATCGAATTGCACCATGAATATAAGATATTTTAGTATATCTCCATCGAGCAAATTTTTTTATGTTCCTGCGGAGTCATTTCAATTGTCATAATCGGACTTATCGAAAAAAAAAATTCCGAATTTGCTCCAAGTTATGCGTAGCTCGCCTTTTGAAGAGCTTTTTGAATATATGCGAATAAATCTCATGCAACAACTTCGACTTCGGATCCATTGTCTATCTCGAGTTTTGGTCGTCAGTTTAGGGCCGATTTCCTTTGATGTGTTTTTCTTGAATTTTTCCAAGTATAACTTCGTCGATTTGAGATATTTCATCCTTATAGAGTTGGATTTTGGCGTGACTTATTCAAATAAGCTGCATTTTTCTGAACTCTTGACTTCGAGTTCTTTTTTTTTTTTAGATGCTATCGCGTAGACATGGGTGGAACCTGAGCGACCTTACAATGAATGATAAAATAAGACACGGGTGGAACCCGAGCTACTCATTAATAGTACCTTTGCAAATGTTCGGCATTCCAAGATAGCATTATTGCTTCGCCATTGAGGCGTTTTAGGTGGAAAGTTCCTGATATGAGCTTTGTAGAGATCTTGAATGGACCTTCCCATTTGGGCCCAAGTGCTCCCAAGTTCGGGTTTTGAGTACTCTGGACGATCTTTTTAAGAACTAGATCGTCCACTTCAAAGTCTCTGTTTTTGATTTTGGTGTTGAAGTATCGTCTGGCTTGCTGTTGATACGAGGCAAGCCTTAATTGAGACTTGCCCTAATGTTCTTCGATTAAATCCAGCCTCAGGCGGAGAAAGTCTTTATTGCCTTGTTCATTGAAAACTTCACTTCGGAACGAACTGATCCCTACTTCGACTGGGGCCATTGCTTCGCACCCGTATGAGAGAGAGAACGAGGTTTCTCCTGTCGAGCTCCTGGCTGTTGTCTTGCAAAACCACAAGGCTTTGAGCAATTTTTTGGCCCATCTTCCTTTCAGGGCGTCGAGCTTCTTTTTGATGGTGTGCTTGATGACTTTGTTTATAGCCTCTACTTGACCATTGGCTTGAGGTCGATAAACAGTGACGAAACTCTTCTTGATGCCGAGCTGTTCGCAGAAAGATCTGAAGTCCTCACTGGCGAACTGTTTCTCGTTGTCGGTTATTATAGTGTGGGGGATTCCGAACCTACAAATGGTGTTTTTGTAGATGAAATCATTTAGCTTGTTCGACGTGATGGTGGCTAAAGGCTCGGCTTCTGCCCACTTGGTGAAGTAGTCAACGACAACCACTACAAACTTAACACCCCCTTTTCCTTGAGACAAAGGGTCGATCAGGTCGATGTCCTAGATTGCAAATGGCTATGGGCTTGTTCGTGTAGTTAATTCTTGAGGTGGAGCTCGTGGAGTATCTGCAAATCTCTGGCATCTGCCGCATCTGCGCACATAGTTTGTTGCATCGTCGAAAACTGTTGGCCAGTAATAACCTTGATGAAACACTTTATATACTAGAGATCTGTCTCCTGCATGGTTCTCGCAAATCCCCTCACGGACCTCCCTCAGAACATACGAGATTCTAGTGGTTAGCTTATGAACCGGTTGAGAAATATAAAAACATTTAAAAAGTATATGATAAAAATTTTATTAGAGATGGGTAGTATTTGTTCTTTTATCTTAAACTTAATATATTTAAATTTATGATTTGTTATCTTAAACTGAATACACCCAATCTTAGATTGATCATATTCAAATTTTTTTTTTTTAAAATAAAAACTATATTATAAAATAATATTATCAAAGAAAGACATTAACGTACATAATAATAACAATTTTCAAAAGCTCGCATCATCCCTATTCACATTGACAAATTTACACACCTAATTTTTTTTTTTAAATAAAAAAGTAAAAAGAACTGGCTCTTATATAATTGAATGTTGTTTCTAACAACCTATCAATAATTAAAATTGACTACTTTACTGCCCATCTAAAATAAAAATATCAATTTTTTAATTATATAGGAAATTTTGGGTTTTTAGTCATCATGATTTTAAATAAAGTTGAAAAAAGTTTGGATTGCAAGAAGATATAAGGAAGAAAGGAAAGAAAAAAAATTTTTAAAATAAATTTTGAGTAAACAACTTTTTCCCACCCAAGGTTTGCCTTAATCACCTTTTCCACCCAAAAAGTTTCAAAATACTACTTTCCCACCCAAAGTTAATATTCCATTACTACCCAAAGTCAACTTTGGCAGCGAAAATTCTCTTTGTCACTACCATTTAAACCTTCGGTCTCCTCTTTACAAAACTCCTCTCACTCTGGTACTTAATTTCTTGTCGATTGTGACCAACGCAAAGCTAATGTTTTCTGTTTTTAGTTGATTTTTGGTTGATTATGGCGACGAATATTCAATCGGTCACCATCATTTGATCCACTGGCCTTCACTCTACAAAACCCTTCTTATCCTGACTCCTGATAACTCACCAAATGTCGACTGATAAAGTGAAGTGTATTTTAGATATTAAAAGAATATAAACGTTAGTTGGGAAAATGGTATTTTGAAACTTTTTGGGTGAAAAAGTGTCATTAGGCAAACCTTGGGTGGAAAAAAGTCGTTTACTCATAAATTTTACTTAAGATATAGCTTTAAAGAGGTTTAAATAACGAGAAGTACTAGTCTTACAAAGACAAATACAAAGGGGACATACAAAGACAATTGCTACCCTTGATCTTCATAATTTCTCTCTCTCTCTCTCTCTCTCTTTTTCCCTTCTTTCTTTGTTTTTTTCTTCTCGCCCATGTCACTTTGTAGCCCTATTTGTATAAGTCTTTGTAAGGATAATATTTTTCTTAAATAAGACCTCTCCTCATATTAATTGACATTGAGTTGCCTCATCAAACCAACCTAAATCAGTTGGGTTCAACAAAAATAATCTAATGTAATTAATTTAAGTCTGGTTATATATACCTCAATTATAAAGTTAAAGAAATATTTTGATCATAACAATTAAATAATTAAACTTGTTCCTCAATTATATGTACATAAATCACAATTACTTAATACTTTAAAAAAAAAAAAAAAAAAAAAAAAAACTAAATTTGTATAAGATGTATTAATGTTTTTCAAAGATGTAACACAACAAAAACAGAAAATAAATTTAAAATTTGTGTTTTTGGTTACAATAAATCTAGGGATACCAAAAAACCTGCACCGAAATTTTGTACCGGCTTACGTGTAACACGTCTCTGATTTTTTTAACAATTTTTTTCTAGTAAACAGCCGTCCATCAAATTTGGACGGCCGTTCACTCACATGGACGCCCGTCCATATTATATGGACGGGCGTCCCCATTTAAAGGATGCCCGTCCATAAATAAAATACAATAAATTTTTTTTATGAACATTTGGGACGACCGTTCATTACGAATGGACGCCCATCCATTATGAATGGATGCCCGTCCCTTATGTTTGGACGAGTGTCCATTCGCCCGTCCATACTTAAAAAAAAAAAAAAAAAAAATAACTGCTCAACTTCTCCACTTTCGCTTCTCTTCTTCTTCTTCTCTGATCATCTAATAACTGCCCACGACTTTTAACTAATCAGACTTTTAAGTAAATGCATGCATATATGCATATGGACCTGTACATCTCCATACTTAATACTGAATAAGGCAAGAATACATTATTATTATTATTATCATCATTAGCATTGGAAGTGCTATCTTCCTTGGCCTTCACTTGCGCCTCAGAAACAGAAGCTCCTAAACCTCTCTCCTTTGTGTTGTTTTCTGAAAGAAGGAGACTTCTGTGGTGAGGAGCTTTTGACCTGGGCACTGGAACCCAAATCCAGCATTAACCTCCCATCCTCTACCTGGACGATGAAGGCTATGAGAGAGGTTCAGGGTTTTGCTCTGTCGCTGAAGAGTTAAAATTTGCGGCCACTCAATTCAGGCGCCTTCACACTAGACAGGTTTAGCACACCTTCAGGTTCTACTCATAACAGTGGAGGACACGGGCCGCATGCTTCATCCAAGCTGCATGGCGCCGTTATTCCAAGAGAAAGAAAATGGAACATTTATGAAAGGAAGAAGCAGAAGCAGTATCCATGTTTATAATTTTTTTTTTTTTTTTTAAAGTATGGACGGGCGTCCATTACGAATGGACGCCCGTCCAAACATAAGGGATGGCCGTCCATTCATACTGGACGCCCGTCCAAACGTAATGGACGGTCGTCCATAATAGATGGATGGTCGTCCCAAATGTTTATAATTTTTTTTTTTTTCATATTTGGGTGAAGGACGGGCGTCCATTATTTGTGAGCGCTCGTCCAAAATTAATGGATGGCCATCCATAATGGATGGACAGCCATCCCTAATGTTTTACAAATTTTTTAATCGTATTTTAATCAGGAACGGGCGTCCTTTAAATGAGGACGTCTGTCCCTTGTACATGGACAAGCGTCCATGTGAGTGAACGGCCGTCCAAATGTGATGGACGGCCGTTCACTAGAAAAAAATTGTAAAAAAATTCAGACGAGCGTTACACTTAGGCTGATACAGAAATTCGGTGCAACTTTTTCGATGTCCCTAATGTTATTGTTTTGGTTAATCTCTATGGCAGCTGTTTTCAATTTGCGTTTGGGCGCCATATGATAACGAGATACTCATACTCTGCCAATGACGGGAAATAGAGAGGAATATCTTTGTTCATATTAAACAACAATAGTTAAAATGAATGGAGATGTTCAGGAACATATGATGAATGCAAAACTTATGCAATAAACAGAAATTACTAAGCATAATTTAAGGATAACCAGATCAACAAGTATTAATCTATCAAAATTACAATCTAACTTGGAAGTTGTTGAAACTCAACGAATGAACTTCAGGCATACATGCTACTCTTTCCACGGAACTTCTCTCAACTATCATTCTACCTATATCTCCAATTAACGAATATATTTCCGTACTAATATACCTGAGGATATCACAATCACCATTGCAAGAAAGAAACATTCATAAGCGAAACAAAAATTTTATTTGTTCAGATTGCATAAGCTATACTTGTTAATACACTTAACATCAGCACTTCAGCCCACAAAACTTCAGAACTATCATTCGGCTAATTATCATCATCAGAGCTTCCCTCTTCACTGCTATAATCACTACTGTCATCATCTTGATCCAAAATATCCAACTCAACATGTCGAACCTGGATTGTCTCAGGTTGTTTATGTAATCCCTGAGGAGGAATAGGTCGCATTGGTTGTTCATCGATTCTAGGCACAGAAATTGCATCCAATGGAGGCAATGGTACTGCATCTCCAGGCTTCCACCCAGGTGGAGGCATGAGTGGAAAATCTTTGGGCAACTCGACAGGCATCCCCGGTTTCCAACCTGATGGTACTGTGAAATTTGAAGGAAGCAAACCAGCCAAATTTGCAAGTGGATTGACATCCGCTGGCTGTGAAGGTGGAGGCTCAATGATAGCCTCAATTGTTTTCTCCTTAGTTTCAACAGTTTTAGGCAACCCCACATCAAGATCAGCAAAAGCATACAACTGAGAAGCCCGCATTTGCTCCTCTTGCGGAGCAGGTGGCATAGCTCCACGCAGAGGGCCGCCAGCACCGAACTCAGGCGGCGCAAAAGTCGTGTAGCTAATCCGATGAGCATACGACAAAATATCCGACAAATTCAACCTAGATGCAACAGTCGTGGTACAAGAATCATCACTTTCATCCTCACCATCCTCCAGTTTCACCCTCTTGGGACGTCTATAATCCGAATAATCATCAACAAGGATATCAAGAACGCGCTCGGCCTCCTTAATCTTATTAGCAAAAGCAAGAATAGACGAATCCTTAGACTTAACTTCACGAGCAATCTTTTGCTTAGCATCTTGAAGGTCAAGAATTTCTTGGAGCTCAGCAACAGCTTCAAAAAGCTGAGTCTGAAGGGCAGTAAAGGAAGAAATAATTTCCTTAGTGGTGGAAGGAGAAGACTCAAGAGGAGGCGGGGGCTGAGACTGAATTTGAGAAGACAAAAACGTGGGAAGAGAGCCGCGAAAAGCGGAGATCCAAAGGGAACGATTAGGGGAGACGTCGAAGAGTTTTGAGGCTAAAGAAGCCATTTGAAGGAGAAGGGCTTGGGCTCGGGGAAGAGGCGGGAGAAGAGAGAGGAGAGTTGAGGAGTTGCATGTAGTGGTGGAGGTGGTGGGGGCAGGATTGGGGGTGGCGGTCGTGGAGGCGGAGGTAGCCGTGGAGTGGTGGTGAAACTGGTGAGAGGAGGAGGGGAATTTGGGAGGCGTAGGGTTTTGAAGAGAAGGAGAATTAGGGTTTGTAAGGCCTAATCTAGCTGGTGAGTGAACAATTTGAGGTTGCAGCATTGTGTTGTTCGTGTAAAATTGGAGGAGAAATAGAAAACCCTAGATTCAATTTCAGTGTTTCATGAATCAAACAATTGAATTGAGGTCGAGTATAAGAATCATAAGTACCAGGAACTCGATTGAGAATTGGACTGCCACAAGGAGAAGAGTAATTACACGACACCTGATCGCTGAATTTCAAGTTCTGGATACTTCGTCGGGCCTGGTAGACGCTCCTTGATTTTTATATTTTTATGTACGCAAAAGACGATTCAAGCACAAGATAGCAGGGCAGCAGAGAGGACAAACTGCATCGCTGAGTTCAGTATGTAAACGACATGTCACTTAATGTTTGTATTCAACAAAGACATGTCGTTTAAAACCTTTTCTTCAGTACGTATAGTTACATTGCACATACTATTATGTGATTTTATTGTCGTCCAATAGTTAGGTATACAAATGACTTGTCACTCACACCCCTTAACTAAGGATTACAACACTGCAACGCAATTCTGTATTTTTAAAAAGAGTAAACGATTTTTCCCACCCAAGGTTTGCCTTAAAAGACACTTTTATACCCAAAGTTAATATTTTGTTACTATTCAAAACAGATTCTGGTGGAAAAAATTCTCATCATCACCATCATTTGAACCTCCGGTGTTCTCTCTACAAAATCTCTCTCACTCCGATAGTTGATTTCTTACTGATTGTCGATCACCACAAAGTTAGGGTTTCTTGCTTTTAGTAGATTTTCAATTGATTTCGACGGTGAATATTCAATCGGTCACCACCATTCGATCTATCGACCTCCACTCTACAAAAATGGTTTCTAATAACTCACTGAACGCCGACTAAAAAAGTAAAATGTATTTTGAGTATTAACTGAATTTAAACTTTGGGTGAAAAAGTGTCATTAAGGCAAACCTTGGGTGGAAAAGAGTCTTTAAACACTAACAACGTATCTCTATAATAATAATAAAAAATCAATATCCCAAATAAAACCCTCACTATCTTTAAGCAACAAAGAGTACTGTTATCATATAGATTTTTTTTATTTTTTATTTTCTTTTGTTGTCTTGGTATGATTTTGTTTTGTGATTTGATTAAAGTTAGGGTTTACAGTTGGGGATTGGATTTAATATTAATTTAAGATGCAAGTGCCTGAATGAAGGAGAAGAAAGTTTTGGATAAGAATACAGCACCAGTCACATAATGGCGTTCAAGACACCATATTTAGCACAAAAGAACAAACAAACCATTCTCCTTATTACAATAAAAATACAATACTCAAAACTCTTGTATTTTTGCTTTAATTGGCAATTTGGAAACTGTCTACAAATACCCATCTACTTGAGAAAGTCATCAGCTTAAAGATGAGCAACTAAATACATTTGATAAGATATAAACACACTGCTTGCTGCAAATAACAACCATTCCCACTGAGGTAAGTGGACACTAAGATTTAGACACTTCAAAATCACTACCTACTTACACTCAACATCATTCACAATCTCTCCTGCCTATTGTAGCAATGGTTTCTCCCTAAATTTTGCAAATTTTCCACGTAAGCGATACAAGAACAATTACATTAGGCACTCTTAATTTATAATCATCAACGATGATAGTGACGAAATCAGAATTTGAGGTGAAGGCGGAAATTACAAGAAGAGTAAAGGTATAATATAGGAAAAAATAAATGTGGTGAGAAGAAAACTAATGGAAATAACAAACATACTAGTCAGCTAACTGTAAGTATTAATAGTTCAACATGATATATCCCTCGTTTGGTTGTTTGCAACAATCCCCACCGATTTTGAATTGGCGTCATAGGATGACATGACCTTCTTCTGAACCAAGGAAATCAACCAGGCAAAGTCAGAACAATCATTTGAAACCACTAGAAATGTTCAAATATGGGAAAAAGAAATCCGAAGAAACAAACCAACTCACAACTGCGATCGACACATCCATATATTGTAAAAACCATAACTAATTCAGGATTTCTTTTATAACCTATTTAAAAAAGCAAAAGTCTATGTTCTAGTCTCATGTCTAAGAGGTCTCTTCTGAGAAAAATTGTAATGTCCATAACTAATTCAGGCTGCATATGGCACAGATGGTAAGGCCAGTGGTTAATCAATTTATACATCATCTTATTTTTTAACCTTTCTACAACCAGTTTATCATTAATGTTACGGTGTTTCTTCCAAGGACTGTGGCTTATAAATACGAGGTGAAATGACAGCCAAATTTTCATCAAGAAAATTGCTATCCTTGTTATGTATTCTTTTTTTTTAGGTAAAACCTTTTTGGTAAGAGAGTTTTTTGCTTAACATGATAGACATCCTAAAATCACTATGCCTAAAGACTAGCCAAAGCTATCAACACAACAATATTGGGTCCCACCTCTAATAAATTTATACAAATCCAATTGATACATTATATATTGCTTGAAAATTCCTCTTCGGAGTCTAAACAAGTTACATATGTAAACATAAGTGAGATAGTTATGTAAATATTCTAACAGAAGCCAAGCATAATATGGAAAGCACACTTTTGCAGGTCTAAGGAAAATGAGGCCTAAAATTATATAAAATAGGCTTCGCGAGGAATAGCACTTGTTTATCATAACTAGAGCAAGTTATGTGCACTGATGAGTATAATTATATAAACAAAGAAGTTAACGCTTACAATTGGCTCAAAATCAGGGCTAGACAAGTTAACACTGAGGTTCTTCATCAACAATAAAACCTGTACAAGTCAACAAAAGGAATTATACACATATTTTTTAAGGATTACACAAATTGAAGAGGGAAGTTATTGACATTGTTCAACTGAATGAAAAGATCAAACCCCCTTACGGATAATAACACTTTCCAACATATAACAGACAACAGCATATGATATCTAATGGAAAATAAAGATATCGTATGAGCATTCTAAACCCTAAAGCCACAGCTGAAGTGCTACACTTAATGACCATTGTGTTTGACAGAACTGTTCGTTGGCTGAAATCTTATGCATATTGAAAACAGAAGAACAAGCTCCATTACTAACAAGTTGGAGCAACATGAATCAAAGCAAAGCAAAGCTTAGCCATGAAGCCTAAGATAAAAGGCCAAGATAGAATCATATGTATTATAAAATATAAGGAAAGACTTTCCCATTCTAGTGCTATAGCGGCAATCTATTTGTCTATTGTCATCTTAAGCCGCATGAAGAGTCAAAAACTAACCGGGTGAGCCCAACAGGGCCAAGATATACCCTATAATGTATCTGCAGCACATATAAACCTTCATCATTGGTTATGAATAGTTATCTCAGGTGATATGTTGTATATGTTATTTGGAACATTGGTCACTAACACTTAATATATAGGGCATAACATATTCTTCTTTATTGGTGATAAATTGAAGTTATCTTCACACAACAGACTGAAACTGACAATAAAGTAGCATTAAACTCACCGTTTCAAAATTTATGGGATCCATTTCCTTGAGCTTTTGCACATGGCCTTTGGTCTCTGGGTCGAAGACACTCCCTATGAAGCCATACACTTCAGCAAAGTCCGGTATACCTGCAAAGCAAAGGAAAAATTGAATAGAGCCACTTTTTTAATCAAACACTAGGTAAGTGAATTTGGGGAAACAAACACGTAGATTGACATGTTTACCATGAAGCATAGGAACTTGTTTCCCCTGCTTTGGCGTCTCTGAAGTGATTAGTGTTCTACTTGAGCTTCCAATGCAACTAACAGAACTGTTACCCATCCTGGATACGCCCTTTGATCCAATATCAGCTGAATCAGTAACGTGGTATGCCATAATAAGTGCTGGAAAGTTCCCTTCAGTAAAGCTAGTCTACTAATATTTAAACTTAAATATATAACAGAAAAGAAATAAGCATGCCTTCAGCTCCAGGTAAATTGGTAAAATCTTCTTGCGGTGACATAATTTTGCTGGATGTTGCATTTATCATAATGGAAGCATCATCCCATGGAGCATATCCAGCAGCAAGGGTATTTGCTGACGGATAAGCCACAGATGCCTGCAGGGGTGCTAAAACTGCCAGATTGAAGATATAACAGGTCAGACTTGTCAACTACATACTTAATATGTTTCAATAGAATAAAACATCATTATGCACAAGATATCCAGACCATTTTTTGATGCTTTTTGCGGATAAGGATGCGTGGCCTTGCGTTTAGGACGAGGTGGAGGAACATGGGCCATTGTCCCATTCTTCTGGACCTTCAAAAAGTATTTCTGGGCATGACTCCGAATCTGCAAAATAAAAACTTCAGCAAAGAATAATTCCACGCGAAAATATGAAAATGGATCACCCATTTTTTTTACCTGGATAACTGTTTTTGAACCCACAAAATCTTCAATCTTTTTCCAGTCACGGTCAAACCTGAATCAACAAGAAACAACACAAACCAACTGATATCAGAATTGCTGTTAAAATAAAAAAAGCATCAGTCTTCAGTTAATTAACAACACAAAATACCAACAATTGGAAGCAACAAATCAAATTGAAACCAGAAACTAAAAAAAAAACTGACTGCAGGAGCTAAAGCAAACTGAAGGCAATCAGCAACAAGGAGTCGGTGACAATTCAAACAAATTTCAACATATAACCTTCTGTTGAGACAAAATCATCTTCGATTCTAAAGTAATAAACCTTGCAATTAACGAAATGATAAGAAGAACATACAGCTGAAGAGCTTCGAGGAACTTGTCGTGTTCTTCTTCTGTCCAGCTCTCTCTAGACTTGGTGATGGTGTAGGGTTTCCTGACCTTCTTGCCACCACCATCTGTGGCCGTCGATGTAGTGGCGGCTGATGACGTGGTGGCCATGGATTGCGGCTGCTGCGGCGGTAGGGGATGTGTAGATGATGATGCGTTGGAATTCATTTTTACAGTATAACTACCATGGAACTTCCAGAAAAGAGAAAAAGACTGCTAAGAGAAACTGAGAAAGAGAAAGCACAGGTATGTGTGTGGCGCGCAAAGCTTCTGATTCTGTGTGGTGAGTTAGCCCAGACCATTCAATTAATCGCCCACTTTGACTCATTTACTACGCCGACTTCTAGTCTATGACTTCACTTTTAATTCTATGGATTTTCGGTGTCATCCAAGTCAAATTAATGGTAATTAATCAATTAGCTTATTTAATTTAATTGTAATGGCAAATGACAAGGAAATTATTTATATTAAATTAGATTATATATTATACCTAGCAATAATTTAGAAATAGAGAACATGGAATTTACATACTTATTTTGAATTATAATTTAAATACTTTTTTTTTTTAATGATAGGGTGTTTGGGCTAGCTTACGCGTATCTTAACTAATCCTTTATAATCTTGAAATTATCGGACGGATAAGAGCTCCAATGATTATTTCTATTAACACCCGATAAGGGACTTGAACTCAAAACCTTTTTAATAATACATTCAAGAATCATTATTGAACCACTTAACCACTCAAATGTAGTTATAATTTGAATACTCTCACTTAAATGTTTTAACAGACACTGAGAAATATTTTCATAACTCTAATTATAAAAAGTTAATTGCATATATAGCTTACATTTATAATATAAAAAATTTCATATATATATTTTTTTTACTTCAAACTCAAAGTTAAATATTTCTCTTAACAATTAATGTTCATAAATGATAAATCATCAATCTAACTATTGTTACAAAATCTCACAACAAACAGAGTTACCCGATTGATCTTGGTGGATAATCAACAAAGAAAAAAAATACTTGATCAAAACAAATGTGTAAGAATTTTTAAAATTTTTTTAGCGAGCTAAACTCGTAAGTCTAAATCAACTGTTATCTTATTGTTGTGTTTGTGATTACAAGAATAAGATCTCACTCTAAAGTTGTTAACTCCCTTGGTTTTATATACTACTAAGTTGGTAGCGGTTACAATAGTGATTTTTGTGATTATAACTCGATTTGGTGAAATCAATCACATGATTTCCGCTGTGGCCATCATACCGAGATGTCAATTCCATGATTTTTCTCCTTTAGGAGATAATGTCTTGTTTTACGGGATAATGTATGTCTAAGGAGATAAGATTTATCTACGATTTGGAAGATAACTATCGAGTAATTCGCTTTAATTTTGTTCGTAACTCGTTTATGTATGATTGTCACTTGACAAATTACTTCGACTTGTCCGTATGTTCATACTATTGAATCCTAAAAATTAAGTGTTATTATATTTATATAATTTTGTATTGGCTAAGTTATAGATTAGTAGGCTCAAATCTCTAACATCCATCACAAGGTTTTAATAAATTCATCTTAAAATTATATTTCAAAATTCTTAAGTGTATAGTTATATATAAAAACTAGAATGAAAAAAGAAAAAAAGAATTTTATGTACAGGATTGTCTTTGATATCAATTAGCTAAGAATTTAAAAGACAAGATTGGCGTCGAGGCAGGGGAATCAGTGACTCAGCCGTTGATAGCGCCGCCTATGAGTAAGAAATCGGCCGAGTAATCGTGAAACCAAACAGAAGTGGGTCCCAGCAGAGATTTGTGATGCGAACGTGTGAGTCCTGCTAGTCCACTAAAATATATTCAGAAGTTCAGAACCACCAAACCATATTTCATGCGATGAGCAATGCTAGACCAACAGCACCTTTCCACAACTTTTCGCCACAATTCGACATATATCAGTTTTTTATTTATCAATTATAATGATTACTTGATAAAATTATAATTGACCTTTCCCCAACTTTTGTCACAATTCGTCATATGTGAGTTTTTTATTTGTCAATTAATAAAATTATAATAATTGGCAAATAATAAATTGGCACATGAGTAAATTACGAAAAAGTATTGTTAATCTAGCAATTTTGTTAATATAATAATATTAGTTTCACAAATATCTTCTACTAATCTTCTGTGGCAATTTATAATTAGTTTATATCTTTCACTAATTTTATATAGCAATTTGTAATGAGTTTGGTCAAACGGAATCCATTATTAGATAGATAAGGCTCATACAAATTGATCAATTATGAGTTTATGAAAGAAAATTAACGAGAAGTGTTGGTGAATGTAATATTACTTTATTTCATGTGTCGGTTGCATTTTTGCTTTGGACAAAAAGTGGGTCCCAATCGCAATCCATCATGTTTCATATGACCACAAAATCCAACAGCCCAGAATCATCCTCGTTTCTATCTTGGGGTGGATAATTGGATTGGATCCACCCTCATTCTTTAAAACTTTAAACTAACACGCAGATTGTGGCACGTGGCATGATGATCGGCCACACGAGTTCGTAACAAACTTCTTTCAAAGCTAATCTGCCGACCACCACGAAAGGAAGGTGTGGACCAGAGAGATGTTTGTGTGCGGCAGATGCTAGGCATGCGTTATGAATTGCCCCTGTCATGCAGGAACATCAGGTGGACTGGGTTTAATCGGACGGGCGCCAGTGCTGTCAGCTTAATACAGAATTAATATGCGTTTTTTAAAAGGCGTCCACAACAATTTCCTCCTCAAGTTTGAGGAAAGTAACAAAGACACCCAAGAATTTTGAAAGTTTTAAATCCACCCAAAAATTTGATTACTTAATTATAATACCCTTTGTCAAATTATATATTATTTTCAGTTTTTATTTGTTCAATTTTTATTAGTAATAACTATTACCCAATTTTATATAATAACATTATAATTAAAATAAATATGTGAATAGTTAAACTATTATTTAATAAAATAAAAATAAAAAACCTAAATTTAATTAAATTAAATACTTAAACACTAAATAATCTATTACATTACAATTGATTTTATTTAAGTTTCTTTACGAATTCCTATACAATACATTGATATTTATATTTAATATAAAATATATCCTAAAAATTAAAAAAAAAAATTATCCATTAATAGTTCCATATTTCATATAATATATAAATATATAATGCCATAATATATTGCATAAATAAATAAAATGCATTTAGGACAATGTAGAATTGGACTTCAAACGGGGCTCCGGTCTGAGGCCACAAAAGAGGGAATGAGGTCCCACAAGCACTAGAATTATGCAACGTGTCACGCTCATAGAATAGAATAATTAGAGGTTAGTATTTTCACAAAGCGATAAGAACGGCAGAGAGCCGTTGGTCGTTAGCTCAACAAATTAAAAAGCTCCATATCTGGAATCTTTTTGGGGATGCTAATGGGTATTCAAGCTCGAATTGGCAGCATAACATCTCATTCCTTCTGCACCAAATCAAATAAGCCACCCTCTTCTTCTTCTAATTCTCGCTCGCAATTGAGACCCTTGTGTTCTAGAAAAGATTCCAAACAAAATGGTGACGGCAGTAAAGGTGCATGCATTGCTTCATTGCTATCTTTTCTCTACATTTTTCATTTTGTTTGGTTATTCATCATCTGGGAAATTTTTTATTTAACTTTTATTTAGGAAATTTTAGTGCTTTATAGTGATGCATGTTTAGTTTACATCATTGGATGAAGCAATATTGTTAGAAGTACTGTCTGGAAGGGGTGATGTTATGCTGAATAAGATATGGAAATGGGTTATGATCTTATGAAATTAAGCGTTTGATTTTGTGTTTGGAAGTATTAGATTATGGGGGGAAAACATGGCTACTTTATTAATATGTCAAAGCTCGTGGAAGAGAGCATTGTGAAAGTAATGAGAGGTGAAAACATTCCTTAGTTTCTTGGACATTGGGATTCTTTCATTCTTTTCGTGTTATTGTGGTTTGCTTTTCTTATGGTGATTGGTGGATCCATGATTACTTGTCATTTTTGTCCTTGTGGTATTCAAGATCAAGGCGAAGGTCAGTTAAGGGCATAATTAACCATTCAGGAATTCATTATTCTAAGTGCATTTTCTAACAATTATCTATCTTCATATGTATGAATAATTTTTTATGGGACAGTACCACTGAATCACTATTGCTAGTGAGCTTAAATTGGGCTCTTTATGTTTGCTTTAAGTTCTTGGGTCAAAGTGTTTATGCAGCAATTAACATGGTAGTGATGCTATCATGATCAGAGTCGAGGCTCTCTGTTCTGTCTATATTTGGGTTTGATTTGCTTCATGTTACACTTGAAGGGGTATCTTAGAGAGCTTAGTACCCTACTTACTAGCTTAAGTTTTGAGTATTGGTTACTTAACAACCATAAATAAATTTCCAAGATTGTCTTACTGTTAACAGGAGCCATGATAATGTAAGCAACGGCATCTGAACCTAGGAACTTGGAGAAAACATTTGAAAATGATGCTAATCTGTTATGACCTTTGGTGTGTGCTGGTAGTGTGAGAAAGTGTCTACAAATTTATTTTTTGATGGCAGAAGGCTGTTGATAGATTGTTCTTGGTAACCTATATTAGCAAAACGCCTAACCCAGACCACCAGACCACCCAAGCTGCTCTGTTTTGTGGTCTCTAGTGCAAAGAAACTACATATTTGTGGTGACAAAGAGTGGTTGCACCATGTATTCTCACCCTCCATTATGGTTTTCACCTCATTGCTATGTTATTCACACACATACTCTAGTGAGTGGTGACATACACTAAAATTCTACTTTAAACTTGGATGCCATTCAATTTTATATAATACAATTTAAATTATATAGGTGTGTTTCTTCTACTTGAGCAAATTTCTATATTATAAAGGGACGTTATTTTCTAAGTCTGACTGAAAATTTACTTACTTTTTGCAGCAAGAGGTTTTTTGTTGACATTTGTAGCTAATTTATCGAATTAGTCAACATTTGCATCCTGAATTGGAATACATATAAAATTGCATGTCATTCTTGTACAATATAAGTTCCTTTGCCTTCTTATCCTCAACTTGATTCTCAAATTGTTCTGAAAGGCTACGTTAATGTTATTTTCTCTTTTCTTTGCCTTTCTTATGGCAGACTAATAGTTTTTCTTTCATTGATTTAATAATAGATTACCTAACATCTAAAATTTGCTTAGCAAAGAACATATATGTAATTTTCAAGGACAAAGATTCATTTGCTATGATAATTCTTTGATTGGATCTGGTCCGTCTTTGTTGTCGGCAACTACAGTTCAACTACTTTATGCTATCTTTAGACCCCTTCTGTAAACTCATTCCAGCATTTTCATGTAAATTTTAGGTGATAAATTCTCAACGGATTGGGATAAGGCATGGTCAAGCTTCAGGAAGCAAGGGAAAAAATCTCTCTTCTCACAGTTTAATCCAAACAAGTATGTGAGCTGGAATCCTACGCGTTCAAACTACCCACTGTCTGAGGAGGTCGATCCCATCAAGAGAACTGAACGGTCAAACCTGATGTTATGGACTAGTCCTAGATTTACTCTAGTTGTGGCCATTTTAATAGTCACATTTCTTCTTCTCTACACGATTCTTGCTCCAGTCAAGTAATCTGATTTTATTTTATTTCACTCATAGAAAACGGGCCTTGTGGTGTTATGATCATTATGAAGAAATGGATATAGGTGAAGGAGTTGTGAAGTGTAAGTAAATGCAACTATTTGTTTTCTTCTTTCTCCAATTGAGCATACCCAATATTTAAGAGCAGCTGAGTATTGTTAATGGACAGTTAATTTGCCTAGAAAGGTTCTTAAATGTATTTACCTCAAAGTTTGGTATGTAACTTTATGAAGAGAAATTTCTTCCGTATGCATTGACCTGGGAACTTCCAGAGAAATGAACTCAAGAATTCTGAAGATTTTACTTGGTTTACATGGAGAAGTTCTTTTCAGATTAGCCTATTGTTACCAGGAACATAAAGTTTTCCCATACAGAGTAATGTAAAATCTTAATGAGTAATCCTCCATCTCGTTCTTAGTAATGCTGAAATTTCTTTTTTTTTGGTTGATGCTTTTGGGAGAAACTGAGTGAAGGAATCTCACTTTAGAAAAGAATTAGACCAGTGAATTTGTGTTGAAAAAGTTGTCTGATTGATGTGCACTAGGTCTTGGTGTATAAATTCATACTCTTTTATGTATTTAATGAATGTTATTTAGAGATTTGAGTTAATTAACATGTTTGACTAAGAGGCTATCCAAACTCCTATGATGACTCGACAGCATATGAGTGGTAACCAGGGCATTCGAATTACTTATGATGGCCTTTTACGAGTATATATGCATTCCACGGTTTTATATGCAATTTACTTGTAAAGGATTCAACTTTGTAGTAAATTCTGACAGATTTATGTACGAAGATTTGATTGATGATCTGTTATCTCAAACTTTTGGTTTCAAAGTGTTCTCCTGATTAAGTTTTTGGATTCAAAACAATATTCTGTATGTGAGATTCTCTTTCCAGAACTCTTTAACTCCTTGTTGAACTAACAGCTTGCGGTCGTTTTATTTCCTGCTTTACATGAGGCTTTTCCCTCTCTTTATCTTATGGTAATTTGGTGTGATGCATCATATTACTCATATCTGTACAAACACATCTGTGATTACAAGTGAACATGCTACCATGATGCATTGAGCCAAAACGACAGAGATTGACAAGCAACAGTAGCCGGACTGGTGGTGATGCTGAGGAAGATGACGTGGGAGTTGGCCTGTGGCTGCAGGGGTACTCATGTTAGCCAGTTGGGTTGCATAAGCTTTGCTTTCTTTATAATTATGTCTAAGAATAGAAGCTCAAATGGGGTGCCGAAGGAGTCCTGAAGCCATCCAGAAGTACTCCCCAATGAATTTTTTTCCAATGTGCAAAAGGTGAACCGTGGTCTTTCCACGTGTTTTCTTCCTCTTGCATGAAACTGAAAGGTGGAGTTTAGACCCAGAAATGGTTTGATCCTACTCTACTTCCACTACTACTTGTTTTCTCCTTGCCTAGTGCAGACCTTTACTTAGTTGTCTCTTTTCTTCCCTGCAAAAGCAATTTGAGTCATTTTCGATGGGGACAAGAACTCAAGAAGACTTGCAAAAACATGACAACCAGATATTTAAGTCTGGATAGGTTTTTAGTCTGTCTGCTCATGTAAAGCATGGACTAAGACTTTTTCAAATCTTTTAATCTTTTTTTATTCATCAAAAATACTTTTGCATTCACATGGTTTCTTTATGCATAGCTCATTTGGTTTCTTGACTGGATTATCTAATCTTGCATTGTCCTGCCTCATAAGTCAGCTGAAAGAAATTATAAAGGCCTCATAAGTCAGCTGAAAGAAATTATAAACTATGTTTTTCCCAATTTTATGCACGAAGGTTGTTTAAAAGTTTTGCATAATGAATTTGAACGAAATATAACAAGATCTTTGCAGAAATTGACCATTGAAAATGTCAAGTTATGAACTCTACTATTCTTTAGTTTGCATGATATAGAGAACTTGACCATTGAAAATGTTAAAATTTAGGCAAATTCAGCAGGCCTATAGTAGTCCTTTATCATTATGACTGGCAGACAAAACAGTGAAAAGATAATTATCCCTTGCACAAGAAGCTAGTGCCTGCAGCACTCAGAACAGTATATGTGTATGTGTATATATACCTCATTGGCGTCTCCCTTTCATTCGCACTTTGGTTTATAACTCAAACCCAATTCCCAAATCATAGCCTGTGTTGTTACTTTATTATTATAATGATGTTTGTGTTGAACACAAACTATTCCTCATGCGGTTGCTCTGTTTCCTCAGAATCTTCTCAGTCAGGAGCAATGGCTGATCCTCACAAGAAAAAGAAGATAAGGTTACCGCCACGTCGAGGTCTCATCAAATTTAAAATATTATCCAACATTGTGAAGCTGGTGGCAAGAGCAGGAAGAAGATTGGGGAAGAAGGAACAGAAGGCGATATCAGAAGAAACATAGCTTCCACAACCACAAGACTCAAATGGCATTCATAACTTAAACTAGAAACCAACTTTTAACATTATGCTCCTGGTATTATCTTTTTAAGTTAATCCAGTACTCTGTTGTAAACCTCCATTGCTGTAAAATGAATGAGAACTCCTGTCTGTTGGCTTGTTTTCCTTCATAAACATTTTCCCATGTATCTCAAACTTTTAGATTCTGATAAATTATTTTATATATATTCTTTCTCTCTTCAACTTCACATGTTTGCTTTCTCTGGAATCATTAAGAAATTGTTGATCAACTTTGTTCATCAGTTCTTCTTGTTCCATACCAGTGGAAGAATGTATGGATATTTTTAGTGTTGCACATGACAGCTAAGGTGGGAGACCAAAGATCTCACACGTTTACGCTTAGCTCTTAATGATGTATTTGCTTTCTGGAGTAAGGCCAAATAATTGATGTTCAATTTTCTTATACTTTTCCATAAGCTGAAATGTAAAAAGTATAATAGGTGCGAAAGTGTGGCTATTTTCAGCCTCAAAGTGAGCACTGAGCAGCCAGCCGACCAGCCAACATGTGGTTGGCAGGGTGGACCAGAGCTTTTGAATGTTACTGTCATTAACTTGAAACAAATCCTAATTAAATCTAGTTTTAAGATAATAATTTCATTAGATAATATTTACTTATTTTGGTAAAAATCTGGGCTTTTGAGATTTTTCTTCCTGGGTAATCATACAACAAAGTTTCATCTATTCATAGAAATTGGCAAAATTAATATTACCTTTAGAAACCACCACTGGGTGGCTTAGTAAAAAAATGAAATGAGGTTTTATGAACTCTTGAGTTTGAGTCCCCATAAACCCTAATAAGAGTGGTCATTGAAGGGTTTATCTAATCGTTAACTTTAGGACCTCAGAGGATTAGTTGAGGTGCGCATAAGTTAGTCCAAACACTCCCGATCACCAAAAAAATATATATTATCCTGCAGAAGCTAGCTCACCAGTTTATAGAAAACTTTTTGGATAAAATGAATTAGTAAAATTATGAGCAAGTTAATTTCCTCCATCTAACCAGAACCAAAGTTCTTAAATCTTATTTTTCAATACCTTTATTCTGTATATTTTCTGCTCTAATGAAAACATTCTTGACTGTACTTTTGCAAACATGGGAATAAATTAAACGTATTAATGTAAATTAAAGGTTGAAACTTTATGTTAAAATTATAAAGTATCGAGATATAAAGTAGATTGTGTCTGAAGAAAGTGGGTAATTGAATGTTTGAGTCGGATGGTAATTGGGATTTTGGGGAATAAACAATGCAAAAATTCAGACTTTAAGTAGCATTTTGCCTTCATTAGAAAGGCAGCTTCTTTAATTTTTATATTTTCTTTTACTCAAAAGGATGAATATTTGGTATCAACATGACCATTGACCAAGAAGAAGATTAATTTGCCTTCGCCATCACTGGCTATGACACCTGATAGTGATAGTAAAAAGAAGTTTTATAAGTTTTTGAATTCGAATCTTTTAAAGTACTAATAAGAGTGATTATTAGGACTTTAGACTTTTATCTGATAGATAACTTTATGACTATGAAGAAAATGTGATAATTGGGATTCTTACTTGATCAATGATTCCAAAACTCTGAAGATTTAATTGAGGTATTTGTAAATTAGTCATAATACCACATATGATAAAAAAAAAAAAAATTACCATTAATATAAATATATCAATTTATGCTATACAAATATAGGCCATCAATTCAATTGACGTAAGTGTAATTTGATAAGTCAGTCTAAGATTAATAAAATCCATTTAATTAAAGATGGAATCCAATAGAATCGTGTACTCATTCGTTGCTTCCGTTTACTCGTGAAGCTTAAGACAAGTCTCCAGTCAACAAACAAAACAAACAAGTTTTATGAACATTCTACGCTTACACGTGCATTAATCAGGAGCGTACATCATGGGAAGAGTAAGATTGGGGTTGGTTTGCCAGTGACGTTTGTGCAGCAATGGATTCTTAAGATTTTGATATAACAATCTCTGTCAACTGTCCAGTCTTGACAGTAATTGTTTGGTTCCGACAGAACATTTAAACATTAATATATAATACCAGCTGTTTTGCTCCTCTAGTGGGATATGTCTTTGCACAACCTTCTTTTTTTTTCAATGGCTTATTATTTTGTAATTTCAGCTAACCTATTAAACAGAAATAACGAAATAACAACTATAAAGAGGTGTTTAGTTCGCGATAATGTCATATTATTGGGTTAATATCATATTATATTATTTGATTATTATATTTGATTATCAAGTAATATAAGATTACGGTAATATTTAAATACCAATAGTAGTTACTATTGGTAATATTAGAGGTAATCTGATTACTTCCATTTTCTTAGGTATTTTGAGATTACTATGGTTATCTTTTTTATTATAATTTTATCTCTTATTAATAAAAAATTTGGATAATAATGCCCTCATTTTAAAAAAAATTTTACATTAATATCTTATTTCAATTTTACCCTTGTTTAACTAAAATTTTAGACAATAATGTCCTTATATTTAAAACAATTTACAGACCACTACTGCCACTTAGCCTCCACCGTTGACAGCGGCCAACCACCACAGACCGCCACCGAAAACTCGCCGAAGTCCCTAAAAAAGAACGAGTTTTGGTGGGAGGTTTCGATATGGTCGTTTCCTGCCATATTGATGGCCGAAAACGGCCAGATCTGGGCGAGATCTGGTCGTTAATAGCCACGGACTTAGCCGTTAACGGCCAAATCTCACCGAGATTTGGCCGATAATGGCCACGCATCTGGCCATTAACGGCCAGATCTGGCCTGATATGACCGTTTTCGGCCATCAATATGGCTGGAAACGACCATGTCGAAGCCTCTTGGTCACGGTGAGTTGCTGATGGGGACTTTCAGAGACTTCCGGCAGTGGTCTGCGGTGGCGGCAAGAGGTGGGGGTGATTTCGTAATAAATTAAAGTTTTATATAAGCAGGGGTATTTTAACTAAATTTGAAATATTAGGGGTTAAAATAAATTATTCAAAATTAATAATAAAAAAATATTATATTAATATTTGTAAAGGGACAATTTAGTAATTTAAATAACATACCCACCAATTTATTCTCCATAACCAAACATATTAATATAACATACCACCAACTAACCAAACACATTTTCTTAAAGATTCTCAGTAATCTTTCAAGGTAATCTACCTTCCTAAGAATCTAATATTCCCGGTAATCTAACATTTCTGAACCAAACGCCCCCTAATAGGTTTGTCTGGCTAGGTTCAAGTGATAATTGTGTTCATATATATATATATATATATATACACGAACACAATTATTAGTCACACACACACACACACACACACACACACACACACAAAC